TGCCGGTGGAGGAAAGCCGGACGAAGACCTGGCACGCATCCGGCACCACTCTTTGGATGAAGACCTGCTGCTCATCCCGCTCGCCGAAGGGTCCTGCCGGCAAAAAACCGGCGGCTCAGCGCCCGTCCCGCGCCGTCGTCCCGCCTCACCGCCCAACCCGGCGCCCTCTCACCGATATCGGTGCCGGCGCCGCAGCCGGCGGGACCGTCCAGATCATCCAGGGAGAGGATTTTGAAGGAAGCCAACGGCGTCGAGCCGGGTTGGGTGGAAATCATCCCGCGGAAACGAGTCACCGTCCAGGTCCGGACGTGGTTGTTATCGGCACAAACTGGGAAGACGGAGGGCGGGTGAGCGGCAAACGCCGGCGATTTCGGCGCCCGGCGGTGTTTTCCTCGCCCCGGCGCTCACCGGAGATGAGGTGTTTCTCCGAAAGCATGATTTTGGTGACGGGGCTGCGGTGGACGGTGAAGGTTTGGAAGAGTTGAGGACCGGAGCCCACGGTTTCGGGGTGCTGCACGATGACCCGCACCACACCGGAACTGGTGCCGTAGGCGATCTCGATCCAGTTCCCGCTGTCACCTACGGACGCGACCCCACCCCAAAAATGATCCCAAAGCCCTCCCAGTTCACCCCAGTAGCAAACTGGTGGGGCGAGAAGCCCCGCCTCGGAAGCTCTTACTGGTTTTGGGGGTGAGGTAGACGCTGAGGGCGGTGACGGCGTCTTCGGTGGGGTCGCGGTAGAGCTCCGTCACCAGGAGATCGTTGTCCTTCATGCGCAGGGGGAACTTCTGAACGTCTGCGGGGGGACGGAGGGACGGTGACGGCGTTGCCGCCGGCCGGGGCGCTCAGAGCCGCGGCATCGGCGCTCACCCACGTAGTAGATGGAGCCGTTGTTGCAACCGAGGAGGAGGAAGGTGCCGGCGGCGTCGTAGCTGTTGATGGGGACGACGTCTTGGATCTGCGGGAGGGACAGAAGGGGAGTTTTGGGGACAATTTGGGGACAATCCGGTGGCGGTGCCACCCGCGCTTACCTGCCAGTGCTTGGTGACGGCGTTCCAGACGCCGATTTTGCCGGTGTGGCTGGTGGCGATGAGTTGGTTCCCCACGAAGAAGAGGGCTTCCACCGGCACTCCCAGGTGGAAGACGCCTGGGCGAGGAGAAGACATCCAGGAGGAAGCCCGGATCCTGCCCAGATCCTCCAGGATCCTTCAGGATCGAGTCCGGTGGGGGAATCTCACCGATCTCGCTGCCGTTGCCGTCGGCTTGCAGGGCCCAGAGGATGATCTCGCTGCAGGACGCCACCGCCACCATCTTGTCGTGGTCACCCAAGGCTCCGCCGAGCACCTTGGCGTTGAGGGCCACCCGCTCGATCACCCAGTCCAAGCGCGGGCTGGAGAAGACCTGTTGCCACCCCGATGTCTCCTTCATCCTGGGGACAAGCAAGAGGGGGAGCTCGGGGACACCGCCGGCACGCGACGGCGGTCCCCAGTTCCCCCCAGTCCCCCCCAGTTTACCTATAGCAAACGAGGAACTGGGCGTAAGCCACCGCGATCCAGTTGTGATGCCCGCAGACGATCCGCACCGCTCCCGGTTCGCTCGCTAAACGGCAAAACCGGACGGGTAAAACCTGCGCCGCGACGGTAAAACCGGAGAAACCGCCCGGTTGTACCGTTCTTACCGGCGGGGGTGAGGGTTCGGTCCTCCAACAAGCGCCCCAACAAACCGGCGTTACCCAAATTGGGGGGCATGGTGTTACTGCGTCGCACCGGGGCTCTGTCGGTCGTCGTCGGTAAACGGGGTGAGTGTTCGGTCCTCCAACAAGCGCCCCAACAAACCGGCGTTACCCAAATTGGGGGGCATGGTGTTACTGCGTCGCACCGGGGCTCTGCGTCGGTAACCGGGCGGCGATCTGCGGCCCCGCCACGCTGTGCCGGTTCCGGCGTTTGGCCGGTAAAACTGTAAAACTTGGGGGGAGGAGAAATTTGGGGGGGTTCGGGGGTGATTTCTCCCCACGGCGCGTTGGGAGGGGGGCGGATTTACCTGGGGGGGGGAGGGA